CTCGCTGCCTGGTAGATGGTGCTTAAGGCAGCTCTCCTGTGAACACTAGGCGTGGGTCACCTGCAAGCTGCTCCTTCTTGCCCAATCACACCCTCGCAGCCCCCGAGAGCCGCCGCCGCTGCTCAGACTCCGGGGTTGGGTGGAGGAAAGGGGTGTTCGGAATCGATCCCCATTTTCCGACCTTCTTGTTGGACATTACGCCCACCTTGGACGCCGCAAGAGGAGCTGTCAAGCCCCGCAGGCTCTGATTCGGCGCCCTCCGCGTTCCTCGGTTGCTCCTGGCTTCCCTGTGCCTCGGTGGAGTATTTGCGTTCGGGGCTGGGGCTGGAGGAGGCAGCCACACGCGCGCACACGCACACGTTCAGAGGAGGGCGAGAGGCAGCGGCATAGGCTCCATCTGCAGTGTCAATGCGGCGCTCCCGCTGAAGGAGGGAAACGCGGCGCGTCCAGGTAAGGAACCGGCCAGCTGGGGAGCGGGGCCGGGCGGGCAGTGAGGGCAGCGCGGTCGGAGAGACCCGGGCCGGGTCGGTCCGGGAATCCTCGGTGCCCTGGAGCCAGCCCGCGGCACACGCACACACACACACGCAGGCACACACACAGATCCACACCAGCATACACGGCGCTCGCGCACCTGCCCACGTCCCACCTGGACGCCCGCGGAGGTGCAGCGGCCGGAGCAGGGATTTCCCGGGTGCATTCTCCTCTCACGCTCCCGGACTCAGACTTCTCTTTCCCGGACTTTCGGGGTGGGATTCTGTGTATTCCCGGCTCTGCCTCCCACCCGAAAAGGTTGAGGGAGCGATTTTTTAGCTCTCAGCCCTTTTCATCCCTAGCTGGGCTTTAAAACGGGAGAAGTCCTGGGAGGTCTCCGGAGACCCACCCAGTGTCATCGCGGCCCCGTGGCCTTTGGACACCCTGGGATTTCAACGGGACACAGAACCACAGATATTCGGACGCCTATTTGGAGAGAGTGATGGCCCAACGCGTGGAGAGGAGGCCACATAGGCGGTTGGAGCTGCAGTTCTGTAGGGCGGCGCATATGGAACAGACACTGCGTTTCCCCAGTAAGAGGCAGCACAAACGCCTTTCTGAAGCGTGGCACTGCTTCCCCGGGAATGCGCCGAGATTTCAGACAGAAAGCGGCTTAAAGCATCGCCGAGTATGTTGCTTGTCTAGGGAAGGTACGGGGGTCATATCCTCCTTAAAAGGTATGACCTTATTCACAACCTCAGTCCCTGCTTAGCAGCAAGCAGACGGGGCTTGGAGACACAGGACTTGGGTCCCCTGTCACCTCCCTACCCTTCCTTGGCACATGGGGCTGCCTTCCCCGGTGCCTCCGGCTGGCGAACACCTGTCACATGCCTTTCGAGGTGTGTGTCTGAGAAAGATAACTAGAAGGGGGAAGCACGAGGGGTGTAGTTCTCCAAAAGAGGAGGCTTCCCTCCCTCACGACCGCGGCGGGCGGCGGTGCCCACTGGAGGAGGCAAAGCATTCATGGGTCTGCCAGCGTCCCCCAGAGCCCAGGGCTGCTCCGAGTGTAGAACCACTCCACAGAAGCCCGTTCTTTAAGGTCCTATTTCCCGAAAGCATTTTCATTCTTGTTCTCTCTGGCTGGAGTTTCACAGGCTGCTCATTTTAACTTTTTCTGGAGGAGGTAGGAAGTGTCTGGGGTTCTAAGAGGCTTTTCCATAGTTCCCTTCTTAGGGTCTAAGAGCAACTCATTTAGGGTCTCAGTTGTCATAGGGAGAAGAACATGAGCTCCAAAACAAATTTGGAATTGAATATACATGTACAAGCGCCTGCGTTTCTGGAGCTGTCCCTTTGAGGTACCTTTCTGGGCAACCTGATCATATCATTCTCCCCCAGAACTGAATAAGCTTGTACCCTCTGTCCAAGATCATGTGTTCAGAGTATCCCACAAACCCACCAGTGGAAAAAATATGTTACGAGTCTTCCAGAACATGATGGGAGAGGAGCAAACATTCTTTTGAACAAGGAGGCCTCAGTGCTAGGCTCAGAATTTGGGTTGTTTTTGTAAATCCTGAAGATGGGGGCTGAATGAAAGGGCTTTTTCAGCACCCTGACTCCGCTATTTCCAAACTTTTTTCAGCTCCTGCAAAGGTCTCTGACTAGGCTGGGGAGAAGCGCAGACGCCCCCGGAGGGAGATTGTATTCCCGCTGTGTGGTGTGTGAGCTGCCCTTTGATTGACTGAAAAGCATAGATGGAATAAAGCAAATCTCTCACAATGGGGAGACCCCAGCAGGGGGAAGAAACCTTATTTGCTTTTTAAGCATGGTGGGCGTGTGCAGACACATACACACCCAAGATATATACCCACATGCGTTCTCAGAGTCTGGCTAAATGTGGTCAGCTCCCCTAGCCATGTGTAACAATGGGGTCCACCTCTGTCTTCCGGGCTGTGGAAGAAATGGAACATTTCTCCCCACATGCCCCTCGAGGGCGTGGACAGGTAGGTCCCACCTACGTGTACAGCAGCACATGGTTTGCAATAGAAATAATGAGCTCCAGCAACAGTGGGTGCCTCCCAGGTAAACAGTCCCTCATGAGACCTGGAAGAGGCAAAGGGATAGGGTACAGGATCTTCCTGAAATGTCTGCATCTTCCCTGCAGACCTCCACTCCTTTCTCTGCTTTCCTCCCTACCCTCTTTCCTTTCTCATGTATTTGCAGCCTCAGGATCCATCATTTTAATGCAAAGCCAGCAGTCATTATGCTGGTTATAAGCTAAACATCTGGGTTCAAACAATCTCCGCACTTTCTGCACTTAGCATTAGGTACCAATTTGGTTTCTAGGACAAGGCAGGCATTAATTAACATCTCTGTAAAGCGGAGTATATATCACGTTTTCCTGGCTCTCTTGCCCAGCCCTGGAGCATGCCATGCTGTCATTCACCCTCTCTGCCACTCTTCTGTGCCCTTCCTTTTAAGTTCTCTGAGGTCTTTCTCACTGAGAAGGGATTCACACTAGAAAAACTCCAGCCATGAATGCTTCTTTTCAGCAGACCCTCGCTGCCTGGTAGATGGTGCTTAAGGCAGCTCTCCTGTGAACACTAGGCGTGGGTCACCTGCAAGCTGCTCCTTCTTGCCCAATCACACCCTCCCGGGGCTCTCCTCTGTCCTCCCAGGACTTCACCCTGGATGCCCACTGGGACACTGCAGACATTTCTAGAGGACTCCAAGGCAGTCAACTTGTTTCCTTTCTCCTTCTCTGTGCCTTTCTGTCGCCTGCTGCTGCTACTCCCTGCAGACAGGGAAATCTGCATGGCAGAGTCTGCCTACATACACTTGGCCTCGGGATCCTTTTCATCACAATGAGGGCTGCTGGGAATGAAGTGGGGGCTTTCTAGGATGGCAACAGTCCTGAAGTGGGAGAGAGCTAAAGGGGCTGGGTCATTAACCGCTCTTGGTTCATAGTTATCATCAGGCTTTGATGCAAAGAAATCGCAGTGGATCTCTCTACTTCTAGCCAGCTAGGGGGCATTTCTTAGCTGCTTCTCCCCATCCTCACCTAGAGAAGGCATACGCAGACAATGAACATCAGAGACCTGTTGGAGTGGCTCTGTGGTGGGTTACAAGGGGGCGGCAGCAATACAGAAAACACGACCGTGATCTTGGCTGTCATTAGACTATGCAACACATGTGCCAGTGTCTCTTCTCTTCTTATTTGTGTCCGGCGCTACCCAATGTGAAACTGGCTCAGACCCTGGGCTATTGAGTAGGTTCATTTCCCTCCCTTGACACCTCCCTTCCTCTCCCTCCAACCCCCACTTCTCCGCCCCCACCATTTGCTAATCTACCTCTTGGCTTTGTGCGCACATCCGCCAGCCCATTCGCCCTCAAATTTGCGGCACTCCAAGAAATCAATATAACATGAATTTAACGACAGCTGGATGATTAAATGTTATTTATATTTAAGAGCGGCATTTTAAAAAGACGTCTCACTAATAAATCAAACGGCTGTTTGGGAGATGCACATGATTAGGATAATTGGCCTATAGGCTCTATCGAGCTATGCTTGGTCCCCACAGGGCCCCGTGGACAGGACACTGTCTCTTTAAAAGCTGCAAGCTCCACTGCTCCCTCCCGGGACTCCCACCTGATCCCCTCTAGCTGCCCAGACTTTCTCTTTCTTCTTTCACGTTGTCCTCACTGCCCAGGCTGCACCATTCAAGTTGTAGTAGGAAGGTGGAGCCTGTAGGGAGACTGAAGGGGGCTCCGCTGCTAAGTGGTAAGAGATGGATCTTGAAATGAAAGACGGGCAGGGGTCCTGATTCCCACAGCCCAGGACTGTTCCTGAAGGAGAAGGCTGCTTCCCTGCCTGGTATAGAGCAGCCTGGAAGAAAAGCTTCCCGAGTCCCTGTGTAAGTCGGTGTAAGCCCCCACACCCCTGCCCTGTCCTGTGGCATCAGCCTCCCAAGGGAAGAGGCTGTGAGGATATTAGTATTGGTTTTAGTTCTTGTAAAAACAGTGGAACGAAAGATGATAATTAATGATGATGGTGGCCAATATTTATTGAGCACTCATTTGGGCTAGGCACCATTTAAGTAGTTTGCCTCATAACAACCCAGATAGGCTATTACAGTCCCCATTTCCTCCAGGAGGAAACTGAGATGCAGGAGGTTAAAGACTTTGTCCCAGATCACACAGCCACTTAGTGATGGAGCCAAGTCTCACTTGTGAGCAATCTGACCTTTCTCCTCATCACTGTGCTGGTTGCCTCCTTAGAATATATGTGTTCACTGTATTGCTGCCCCTTTGGGAGGTTTATGGGTGAGGGCTGCGGAGGAAGTTTAGAATATCTGGTCCTAGTCTCTTGCACTACCTCTGTGATACCAGGCAAATGTATTTATTCATTGAGACTCTATTTCCCCATGCATCAAGGGGGATGAGTCTTCTCTTTGGCTGTTGGTAGGTTATAAAATTGCATGGATCATTCTAGCAGAGTGCCCAGGTCCTGAGGGTGACTGTCATCTCATTTGGCAATTCCCATTTTCTCCCAGGAAAAAATAAGGAGTGAATGAACGAATTGGGTGAAGTCCCCATCTTTACTTTAGACTCTCTGAGGCTCCAATTCTGATAGGAGTCTAGTTCTCCCTGCTGACTGCTTCAAGTTGCTAGTCTTGTGGAAACAGCACTTTCTCATTTCGTCTTTAAAGTAGCTGTGCAAGGTAGGTATTGTTTATTCCCATTTTGACAGCATAGAAACTAAGGCTGAGAAGAGAGTTTAGGTGAGATGTCTAAGGCCCCAGGTTGGTAAGGGATGGATGGTTTTTTCACTCTTGGGCAAAGATTCTTACCATTACACCACTCGCGGTAGGTGCTTGACATTTGTTCAGTCATGCATTTATTACTCCTAGAGTTTCTGACTTTAGGATCCAGAAACAGGGAAGAAATCTGTGCCTGGGGACATCATGCCATGCTGGGTGCCT